AAAAATAAATGTCAAGGTTAGAGGATCCACTAATGGTATTTCAAACATGTATAGTATAAACTCTTTTTATTACTTAACTGAAAACCATACACAAAGAAGGTTTCATTCAGATTATAAATGGTTAACATGATTACATTATTTATTTTATTCGAATAATATTAATACTTGTAAATATTATCAGGTATTCATGACTATAACTTATTTAACAACAAATCAAGTTCTTTTCATGGTATAGGTGAAAGTTATATCATATGGTTGGCTTATGAAAGTGTCAAATATTTGTTGTACCAAATGTTATACAGCATAAATTTATATTAATCATTTAATAAGCAAAGTATTAAAAGTGAACAAGATAATAAATATAAAATATATTAGTATCAAATGTTAAAATCTATATTGAGTTTACACTATATTTATTTTTACACTATTAGTGCAACTTTTTTACCTTGACATAATAAACTTAACTAAACATAATGAAATAAAAGAAACATAAATAAACAAGATAAGAACATAAATAAGATATAAGTTAACTAAGTAAAGAAAATAAAATGAAAAGCATAAACAAGAGATTAATAAAAGCAAAACTTAAAAATTACAAAAATATAAAGAGAAAGAGTAAGAACATGATCTTGATCTGAAAATCAAGATGTCTAAATGCACGGTAAATGCCTCTTTTTATAGGCTAAAATTGATAACTATTGATTTAATGACTAATTATTGAGTGGTTGACCAACTCTTGACTTAGTAACAATCCTTATCTTCTTGTCTACTAAAAACGTCATTACTAACATCAGAATTCAAACAGACTTAAATCATAAAAGTTCTAGGAAATTATCTCAGCTTTCTAACTAAAAAAACTAAGGTCATTTGGACTTCTAGAACTCAAGATATGGGTTGAACACTAAGCAGTTTCTAGGCTACAAGACTCAAGATATGGGTTGAACACTAAACAGTTTCTAGGCTACAAGATAAATTCAGACTTTTTTTTTGTTGCAGATTTGGACTTTTAAATAGCAAAATTGAGTCTTCATTTCCTCATGAATGTTTTAGGCATATGTCTTAGCTTTCCATCCATATAGAGTAGACCCACAAAGTTCTACAGCTCTAAATATGACCCAATAACTGAATAGTGTTTTAATTTCGACTGAACCGATATCTCTTTTCCAAGCTTCACCCTTTCTTTGTCTCCTCAATTTTAGTAGTTGGAATCATCAATCAATCATTTGACTTGTGTGATAGGACTACATTTAAGATGAATATTTATCATAAATTAAAGGTATTTTATAGTATTAAACTTATTATTATAAACATGTTTTAGTTAAAGAGTTATTGATACTTCAAGTACAAAATGCTAATATAAAACCTTAATAAAAATGCATTTTTAAATAATAATCAAATACCATAATTTTTTTTTGTTTTGAATCCACTAGATATTTTATTTACTTATTTATTCTAATGCCCATGTCTTAATCCTTTTCATTTCCTTTATTTTTAAAAAAAATAAACTAAAAAGTAGAAATACTTGAAAGAAACTCCCTTTCATGTTAACTTCAATTGCCTCCCCCGCTAAACTAGATTAATGACCTATTTGGTGTTTCGGTTAAACTATCATTTCACCATTTTTAAAAAAAAATTCTTTAAATTAATTTTTTATGTATTTTTAAATTGTTTTGATGTTATAGTGTCAAAAATATTTTTTTAAAATAAAAAATAATTTTGATATATTTTAAAGAAAAATGTACTTTGAAGTCCAACCTCTTTCACACTTCCAAACCAACATTAATATTCATCACCCATAAAAAAAATTTCCACAAGATTTCTCAAAATTCCAAACAATATTTTCCTAAAAAATAGGGTAAGACCAAATCTTTAATTACACAACAACTTAGTTATTAAGAATACGCCACTTGTTAAGAAAACCGTGTTAACTCCCTAAAATTACTAATTATGAAACCAATTATGAAAATATTTTTTTTTAGATTACGATGAGCTCATAAAAGACAAAACAAAACCAATTATGAAAATAAATTTCTAATCATTCTAGTATCTAAGAATAAAAAACTAATTTAAAAAAAGTTAAACTTGTCACACCCGCGAACCAAGTCAACCATCAAAACGTGTGAATAAGTCCATGAACTTTATAAAGTTTAATAACATAATTTTTTTCTGAAACTATTTTTTTAAATATATAATAAAAAATTAATAATAAAAAAGTCAAGTTCAATTAAAAAAAAATAAGACACTCACAAAACTCATAAACGAGGGCAACCTAGGTTGCCCTGGTATACCTTCAAACCATACCAACCTGATAGAAAGGTACTTCAATATACTCATAAACCACGTTAATCTTATAGAAAGATAAAATTAAAAAAATTACAAAGCTAAATTTTCAATCATCTCAATGCTAAAAAATAAAGTCAATAAAAAAAATTAAAAAATCATAACAAAAAAAAAATGAAATAAAAACCATGTATAAAAAAACACTAATATAGAAAAACATTAAAGCAAGTCATAATATTTTATAAAAAAGCTACAATGCTTTCTTATAAGTATAATTAGTATATAAGAAATAGTTGAGGATTTGAAAAAATCACAAATGATTAATCATGTCACATCTGTGATTTAGGTGTAATTGTTTGAATTTTCTTCTTATTAAATTATCTAATTAAGATTTAAATTTTACTGATCATGATTATCTATAAAAGGTCAAAACTCGCTTGGGACTGGGATTTGGGCTTGATATTATCTTAAATAACTAAGTTAGGCTTGATCTATACTTAAACAAAAATGAATATGACCACTAACCAGTCGGACCCATGAATAGCTTTACATTCCTCTCATTTGATTTTTTTTCTTCAATTAATTTTTGAAAATGTTTTAGATGATAAACTAGATTATTGACATGTGTCATGTTATAGGTCAAGTTATTTTTTTATTGAATATAAAAAAATATTCAGATATTGCTAACCTTTTTTCTAGCAGAAAAATATTAAATTGTGTGAGGGTTGACCCAATGTAACCAGATTGACTTTACGAGTCAAAAAACAAATCATATAATCTGTAAAAACATAATTTAAGAAAAAATATTTCAAGATGATATGGTTTTTTAATATTAAAATAACAACATATTGAATTGACTTGAGTCAATCCGGGTTAATATGTTAAATCCGCAATCCAGGTTATGAGACTATAATAACCTTATAAAAAGCAAGTTAAAATATATTATAAAGCTTGATTCTCAACTAATCCAATATTAAATGATGAAATTGAAAAAAAAATCAATTAGAAAATGATCTAAAAAGGCAACTCGAGTTAATCTGTGAAACATGCTATCCAAGTTATAAGACCAAAATAATTTAATAGAAAGCAAATTGAAACAAATTATGAATTTCTATCCCTGATCAATCTAATGTTGACGGATGAGATTAAAAAAGAAATCAATTAAAAAAATATATAAAAAATAACCCAAGTCAATCTATTAAACTCATGACCTGAGTCATCATATCGAGATAATCTTATAAAAAAAAACTTCATTTAATCTAGTTTAACCTACTAAATTCATGATTTTGGTCATAAGATTGAGATAATTTCATTGAGAGTAAATCAAAATAAATTATGAAACTCAATTCTCAATTGTCCTATCAGGCTCAATGTTGAACGATGAAATTTGTAAAAGTTTTAATAAAAAATAACACAAAAAATGAGCCAATTCAATCTATGTCAATTCGTTAAGCACTATTTATGGGTCATAAGGCCAAGATAACCAAATAACAAGTAAACAAAAAAAATCATGAAGTTTAATTTCCAATCAAATATAAAATTAAATGATGAAATTGAGAACAAAAAAGTCATTTAAAAAATTGAGTCATTTAGGTTAACCAACTAAACTCGTAGCCCTAGTCATGAGACAAAAATAACCTAATAAAAAGCAAGTCCAATGTTAAAAATGATTTAAATAATCTCTTAGAAAAGAATAAAAAAATAACATGATTTAACCAATGTTAAATATATCACAATCCAAGATAATAAAATCAAAACAAATTATGAATCTTAATTATCAACTGATTCAGTGTTGAATAATAAAATTTAAAAAATAAAAAATAAGCCGAGTAAACTTAGGATATTCCTTCCTCTTTTTAATATTAATAGATAAAATTTAAAAAAAAATTGATAAAAAATAAAAGAAAAAAAGAAAAGAAAGAAGAAAAATAAATTATTATTGTAATAAATAGTATTTTGTGAAAAGAGATAAAAGTAAAATCTCATTTTCTTTTAGTTAATAGTTAATTTGTAGTATTTTCAAGTTCAACAAAGTAATGTTTTAAAACGACTAGTTATATTATCCGGATCAGAAATTTAATAGAATTACCTTAATTATTTAAAATAATATTTTTTAATTTTTATTTAAAATAAATAAGATTTGGACCACCGGTTTGTTCCGATGTTAATTTATTGGGCTGTCCAAACCTGACGAGATCAACATGCAAGGTCTAATAACACTAGTAGAAGGAAGAGATTTAGGGAAGAAATCCCGTTCCTGATTATACCGTTGTAGCATCAAATCGCACAATCACAGATACGGTATACTAGCTAGTATTTAAAAGATGTAGTACAATTATTTACGACTCCCAGTATGTGTACAGTGTACTCCTGCTAAAAATACGACGACCCTAGATTTCATAAATGGAATATTAATTTTTAGTCCCTTCTTGTTGAGCACTATTATCACTTGATCCTTCATGTTTTACAGCCTACAGTTTAGCCTCCTTAACTTTTTCAAAATATTTTTTTTCCCTTCTAAACCTCTACCATGTTGATTTTTCTCTAATAATTTAAATTGTCAACGAATTTATGAAGAGCTAAAACAGGTTTTATGTTAAAAGGAGGGTTAAGTGATAATTATGTTAAAAATACAGGGACTAACTGAGAAGAATAATCTACTATTTCATTAAATAACCTCAACCTTCTCATTGTAAATGGAAGGAAACTCACATCATCCCTGAACAGGAAGGAAGCATTTTTATTTTTATTTTTTTCAGAGAGCATGGATCATGGTCATGATATGCCAGGCACGGGGGGCATGGTTGCACCGCCCCCCATGAACAATACAGGAATGATGCACCGCCATAAGATGATGATGATGCACATGACATTCTTTTGGGGCAAGAGTGCTGAAATTCTCTTCTCGAGCTGGCCTGGAAGCTTTGAGAAGAGACCATACATGTATTTTGCGGCTTTGCTATTTGTGTTTGTGCTTTCGATTCTTGTTGAGTGGCTATCCCATTGCCGATTGGTCAAGCCTGGCTCCGGCCCTGTGGCGGCTGGTCTAGTCCAGACTCTGTTGCACGCTTTGCGGGTTGGTTTAGCCTATATGGTGATGTTGGCTGTCATGTCTTTCAATGGTGGCGTGTTCTTGGTTGCTGTGGCAGGGCAAACTCTGGGGTTCTTCTTTTTTGGCAGTAGGGTTTTTAAAAAAACACATCCTCCAACAGAAACCTCTGATCTTCCTCCACTGAGTTGTTGAATTATAGGAATTAGGTATCTGGTTCTTAGATTTGGCTTTGCAGTTCTCTCTAGTTATAGTAATGGTGGTGTGTTTTTCTTTTTCTTTTTTCTCTTTGAAAATTTTAAGAATAATTGCTGTTAGAAGAATCTGGGGTGTCGATTATTATTTGTAAAAAAAAAAATCCATTTTTTTATGACGTCGATGTTATTATTACCAGTTGATGAATGTTTATGCCAATTAATTACGGAAAAAGCCAAGGCAAGAAAGCAGAAATTTGTGTTTATTTTTGGCCAGGTAATGATTTTCTCCTATTGACCCATATCTGTGCAGCTTGGGACAAGCGAGTCCAAACTCCGAAGATTAAATCCAGGGATGAGAATTTCTTCAAGGAAGAAGCAAGTCTACGAGAAATGCCTTCAAATTGAATTTAATTTTATATATGATTATCATTTAATTATTTGAAATAAAACAAAATATTATAAAATTAAATTTAATTGTACTATTTGAAATAATTTAGAAATAAATTGAATCGAGAATCTTAACTATTTTTTCTTAAATCATTTTTCTTATATTTTTTTTATTTGTTACAAGAACCCTTAAATTCACAACTTTTTAACTACTATATTTGTAATATTTAATTATTTTTATGTTAATTTTCCAGTCTAACTCTAATATCCAAGCGTGATCTTAAGAAAACAGATTTAAGAATATTAATAATAGATTGAGTGCAGAGCATTCAATACAAGAAGAAATCTCAACTAACAAACTTTAAACTTAAAATCATCCATTCATCAAATAGAAAAGAAGATTTAAGTGAATAACTAATATAATTTTGATAATATTAATAACCAAAAAAGATACAATAGTTTTTAAATTATAAAAAAAAAGACTTATAATATTCTTAATATCCATTAAAATTTCAAGTTAAAATTCCAGAAGTTTTTAATTGATAAAGGAAAGAAAAACATAAATCTTTTTTTCTTTAAAGAAATTGATTAAGAATTGAGTTGAGATACGGTGATGAGTAGTGTTGGTATAATTTATAAATGAATAAAAAAAATATTTTTATTCCATATTGAAAAAAATATTCCCTTCTAAGTGCATATAAGAGTGAAATTTTGTTGTATTAAATTATGTGAAAATCATGATAAATAAAGTAATTGAAACTTAGTATGTTAGTATGATTAATTCTTGTTTTTTAGTTTATTTATTTTAATTTTTATAATTAATTTTGACATTTATGGTTGCTTAGATAAAACTAAATAATATTTATTTAATTTTATTTAAGATATAATTCTTTCATTAATAGTTATATAGTTTCATCAATAGTCATAATATTTCATTATAATATTTAAAGTCTATATAAATATGTTACTATATAGAGAAGAAGAAAAAAGACATACAAAAAATGTATTTTTTTTGTCTTTTTTTCTTATTTTTTTAGAAATTTAAAAGGTTTAATTGTATCTTTGAGGTTTTATCTCTGTACGAGATACATAATATGTTAAGGATAGTGTTTTCATGTCTTCAAGTTAACTCTTTATTAAATATTTGTAAAATAACTTTAAGGTGTTTAGTTGATGGAGATAACTCTGAATTCAAACGTTAAGGTTGCTAAAGATGTCAAAATTCAACTAGATCATTTAGATGCTATAAATTACACAAAGTAAATATACAAGATGATGTTCCTTTTTATTTCAATAAATATTTACTATATTTTTATATCCAAATCTGTTTGTACTACCTGAACCACAAGAAGATAAATATATTGTTATTAAAATTGAAAGACTGACATATAAGGAAGATGATGCTTTGTTGACGACATATTCTGAATACTTCAACTAGTTAATTTTATAACTTCTCTAAATTAAAGTCAACAAAGTAACTTTGGAGACATACTATAAGCAAGAAAAGTCACATTCTGATCATGTTCTGATCGTTTTCTTATTTAAACTTTTTTACTAAAAGATTACTAACAACAAGTCAATTATAAATCAAGCCCATGAAACTCAAAACTTGATATCAAGACTTAGTAATGTGGATATCAAAGTTCCCGATTTACTTTAAATGGGAGCTATTTTATAATAATTTTTTTCATTTTAGAATGAATATAGAAAAAAGATTTTGTGTTCGATAGACAATTATACCTTTGAATAATTTCAAACAAACTTGCAAATTGAGGTGTAGTCTTGTATACATGAACTACAAACGATAAATTCTAAAGAAATAAACTTGCATCTTATTTTCTACTATAGAATCAAAATTTATTGTTATAATTGCTGTAAGTAAAGAAGCAGAATGCATAAGAAATCTATTGTTATATATAAAGTTGTAGCTACAATTTATGTCACTACAATAATGAAGCAACTATGTCTTGAGTTTATAATAATATTTATAATAATAAATCAAAATATATAAGTATTTAACATTGATATGTTTAAGAGTTGATTGCAAATGAGGTAATCACCATTATTGATGTTAAGTAGGTGAATAATTTAGCGGATTCTCTCACAAAAGGATTATCTAGAGACATGACAAGGAGAATAACTAGTAAAATATGTTGAAACCTATTATTAAAGATACCAATAATAAAAACCTAACTTTAAATTAATAAGGAGTTTATCTCTAAGTTTATTTGGTAATAATAAGTTACTATTTAGTATTTGTTAGATACTGATAATTAATTTTGGATACTATTCTGATAGTCTTCAGTGTGTTCTTGTACATAAAAAAGGATGATTATTGGTTCTTAATAGAAGTTAAAGTTTGTATTTAATGTAATAAATACATGTATAATTCCATCTATATAAATATAGAAGTAGTATTGTTTTTTACAAGAGTTGAGATTTTTTTATATAAATATTCATGAAAATAAGATTTTAACATATAGCCATAACAAGTGCTAAACAATTATAAAACTCTTTAAAAGTTTGGACAGTATTGTGTGTGTAATGTTTTTAATTCTATAATAAAAATTTTGGTTTAATATGCAGATACTAATAACTTTAGAATGATTTAAATTCTAACAATGTTTAAATTTCAAAATGAATAACTTTAGAATGATTTAAATTCTAACACTAAATGAAGGTTTAAATTTCAAAATACATTCTTATAAGTATAATTCAATTAAATAAAAGACATTTTATTACAAACTAATGGAGGATTATTGATATAGTTTATAGATGAATAAAGAAGAAAAATATTTTTATCCCATATAAAAAAGAAACACTCTTTTCTAAATGTTTATAAATGTGAATTTCTATTACGTGATAAATTGAGTAAAAGTCATAATGAATATGACTCTTCTAGTAAACTTTTTAATGTTATTATATAAATATTTATAGTATAAAAAAAATATAGCACTTAAAACTTTATATATTAGTGATATTAATTTATTTTTTAGAGTTTTTGATATTAATTTTGAGATTTGTAATTTTTTAGATAAAATTGAATAACATCTATTCAATTTCATTTAAAATATTATTATTGATTAATTAATACTTTTATTTTTATTTAGATCCTTTTTTTTATTAAAAAAGAATAAAAAATAAGATAATAACTCAACAACATTAAGCTCATACATATATGGATCTGACAAGTTGTCATATCCATTATTTATGGGCTTAGCCAAACATTAAATCTATGATTTTTTTTTAATTATGAAAAACCTTAGGTTTTATAATTAGTCTATGAGTTAGAAATATTTTTCTACGTAACAAGTTAAAGATATTTTACTTACACTATAATCATTTTTTTTGAAAAAGAAATAGCATCATAGGTTATAAAAAGGATTAAAAATATCTATAAAAAAAGTTTTTTTACCCTAAGTTTTTATTTTTTATTGTATATTTATTTTCAAAGTTTTTCTCTAAAATATGATAACTTTATTTTTTAAAAAATATATATTTAAGTATTAAAAGGTCTTTTAATTCACTAAAGAAAACCTTTAACAAGTATCAATATGAGCAATGTTAATTATAAATAATAAATTAAATTGTTAGAGCTAAAAAATTAATCATTTATCAATACTTTGGATGTAAAAATATTAGCAAGAACATCACTAAAAATATTAAAATAAATTATTATGACGCTAAGCTTTTTAAACATACAGATTATGTCCCATGCTTAACATGTAAGAAAGGTAAGTAGTTTTAACAATTGCCCGAAGAGATTTGGATATCGAGACCAAGGTGTAACTTAACATATGAAAAGATAACACTAGTATATGTTAGTAGACCTAAAGAGAATGTACGTGTAGGCCGAATTCTAACTTAAAACCTGGGCTAATATAGAAAAAGGCCTAATCTGTAGGTCAAAAAAAGAGGACATCAGCTGCATTGGGTGAGATTATGCTTTTGTATTTGAGTATTTTTAAAAAATGTTTTGAGTTTGAAAAAATATTATATTAATACTTTTTAGTATTTTTTTTTATGATTTTAAGATGCTAATATTAAAACTAAAAAAAATCTATAAAAAATTATTTTAAAATTTTAAAAAACAACACCACAATCCCAAAATGATCAGTTAATCGTCTAAGTTTTCAAGTTCGGGAATTCAAGCTACCTGTAGTGTTGAATGCTCTTTCGCTGAGAACACCTTCAAGAATCAGAGAGGAGTGGAGAAATTTGCAGGAAAAATCTGGGAAAGATCCCAAGCTGGATTTCTTTTAACTTGTTAACAGAAAGCTTAACAAAAGAAGAAGCACACATGGGCACAGATCATGAATGCTAGTGTCTGATTTACATCAAACAATTTAAGCAACTAATATGACATGAACTCTAATAGCATTTTCAAGTTATTGTAGGATGAACCACCTTCCTTTATACAAATCTCAACCTTTTCCTTTAAATTTTTAGCCTTACGCCTCATCTCCTCTCCTTTAGAATCCACCATCAGCCTTCTTATTGCCCCTTCTATCTCCTGGCGCTCCAACTTGTTCTCCAGTTGCAAGCCTATTTCCCACACGTAACTAGCATATCTTGCATTCACTCTTTGGTCCCCAAAACATGGTTTGCATATCATTGGAACTCCTTCGGATATACTCTCCAGGGTTGAATTCCAGCCGCAGTGGCTCCAAAATGCTCCCACTGCAGAGTGCGCCAATACTTCCTTTTGGGGTGCCCATTTCACAATGCAACCTCTTTCTCCAACTATTTCTCTAAAACCCTCTGTCAACGATTCAATCCATTCTGATCCCGGAATTGAGCCAGGCCTGACGACCCACAAGAAGCGCTGCCAACTGTTGGCGAGACCCCAAGCCATTTCTGCTACCTCTGTCTCATCTATGGAAGCTAAGCTTCCCAAGCTTATGTAAAGAACTGAATTACAAGGCTGCTTGTCAAGCCAAGTAATGCAGCTAGTGTCCTCATTTAGTAGACTACTAGAAGAGACTGGTGCAAATTTGTGCAAAGGGCCTATTGGAAAGATTGGAATGGGGCAATATCGTTGTTGCTGCTGTTCCAATGACGATTGTTCAAGGCAATCTATGGTATTCCATATAGCAGCTGAAGACGTTCTTACATTGTACATCTGGGATATCAGGTCCAAGAAATTATCAGGGACTCCAAATATGGAAACTGGTAAATCCTTGAACCTGAGAGAATGAAGGTTAGGAACTCGATCCTGTGACATAGAATCTGTGTTCCAAATTCTGTTAGAATAATATAAATAAGAATATATAAAAAAGTCTAGATCAGGAGACTTGAAATGTTATCTGTACTACTCCAAGGAACAAACCATTAATAACTAGATTGGATATCAACATGATAGAGAGAAGTCTTTACCTTGTGTGATAATTTAGTGGAAAGTTTCTTACATTTGTGTTCTCTAACGCAAATCAAATAAAATCAACCGTTCACCATTAGAGATTGATTATCTATTAATCCTATTTCTGGAGTGCACACAAAAAACTAGAAGAGTTCAAATACATATTAATTGAGCTCGAGCTGTTAAAACTTAAAATACCTGCTCATGAAAGTACTGTTGTAATCGGACATGCAACAAATCTTAAAAATTCAGGATGTCTTTCGTAAGAGTATGGATTTGAATGAAATATAACTGATAGAACTATCAATCATTTTTTATTAGTGCGTGAAGAAGGACACATGCAACAAATCTTAAAAATTCAGGATGCCTTTGGTAAGAGTATGGATTTGAATGAAATATAATTGATAGATCTATCGATCATTTTTTATTAGTGCGTGAAAAAGGAAAGTTGGGACAAGGCAAATTTAACAAAAGCAGCTGTTCTATGACCATTGAAATTTGAAATGACTCTGCTGATAGTTTATTTTCTGCTTAGTAAACAACAAATTAATGGGTTATAAATATTCTCTATATAAGCAATATATATTAGACATATACCTTGCCAAGGGATGCAACCTTCTTCCTTGAGTTGGCGAATGGCAACACGAGACTGAGCAGTGGCAACGCTGGTGGAGCACAGTATCATACTTGAAAGCTTCAGATGATTGGCAGCAGCTTCAGCAAAGTACATGAGCTCATCGTATATGATGCAGGTAACCTTACCATCTGGCTTCTGCTGCTGAGTCATCCTAGTCATGCATTCTTGAAAGGGTGTTTTGCAATTCCAATTAAGTGCTAATAAAATGGCCACTAAATTCCCAGAGCTAATTTCATCGGGGGATAAGCCATCTGGTATAGATTGAAAGGTGAATTCATGGTGGCAGGATGGGTTAGGTGAGTTGAATTTGGTGTGAACAACGGTGATGGAGAAGCCCTGGGAGTGAAGTATGGCGCCAAGCTGAAGCATTGGATTTAAGTGGCCTTGGAATGGACACGGCACCAGGACCACACGGCCATGTCTCGGTGGTTGCTCCTCCATCAATCTCCTTAACAACTTCGATGCAGCTTATTCATCAAAATGAAGAAGGAGACCTGAGGCAGCTTGTCAGAGATCTGTTTCTTTATTTCTTTTCGGATTATAAAATCATTAGAATGGATCTCAACTACTCGCATGCGTTAAATATTTGATACTTACAGATTTAATTATTCTTTGGACCATAAAATCTATAGAATGGTTCTCAACCACTCGCACACGCTAAGTAATTGATATCGGCAGGCAGAGACACTTCATTTATTGTCGATTCTTAAAAGTTATTTGTGGAGAAAATAGTAAGTTTATAATTTAATATATCATAGAACAGCTCATCTATATTTAATTATTCGAGGTTGTCAATAGGTATATTAAATTTGGACTGATCCGAGGAGTTAATTTGAAGGGTGCACCGGTGATAAAAGATATGGATAAATAAAAAACCTGATAAAACTCAATTCTCCTGCTGGGTTGATTCATGGATATTTTGATAAAACTCAGCTGAGACTCTTATTTATATTTTCAAATATTTTTTTAGTTAAAATTTTTTATTTTTTTATATTTTTTAGTTGGTTGTTAATCTTTTTTAAAATTTACTATGTAAATACTAGGAGAATATTTTATTTTTTTAATATGTAATTTAAAACATTTTAGTATATATATATATTTTATGTTCACAAGAAAAAAATTATATTTTTTTAATATAAAATAAAAAATATTTTTAGTTTCAATACTTTAACTTAAAAAAATAACATTCTAATATAGTAACATTTTATATAAAAAAATTTTGAAATAATTTTTTAAACTTTATTATTTATAACATGTATAGTCTATATTCATATGGATTGTTTTTTAATTTTTTTATATAAAATATTAAAATTTTTATTTTTTTTTTAACTTTTTTGGATTGATTCGAGTTGACTCGAGTTAATCTAGGTCAACCTATGTAACCCGAGATCTAGCTTTTTCACCGGATCAACTCCCAAGTCAGGCATCATAACTATGGTAATAAAGTTAAAAGCCACAGCAAAGTTAAAAGCTTTTTTTAGCATGAATGATGAATTATTTTTAAAAATATTTTTTATTTGAAGATATTAAAATAATATTTTTTTATTTTTAAAATTTAGTTTTAATATTAACATAATAAAATAATTCAAAAATATATAAAAATAATAATTTAAAAAAAAAAATCCCGATGCCACCACAAAAAAACATTGCTTTACTTGTATGCCTTTTGGGGAATTAATTAGCAGGGAAGTTGATACATGAACTTTTTTAAAAAAAAAATTATTTTTTAGTTAATTTTATTTTTTTATTTTATTCTGCTATTCTTTATTATAATGTTTTTTATTTTATTTTTCTATTTGAAGGGGATATTGTTTTCTAATTTATTTCTTTATATTCAATATTATTAAAGTTATTTACTTTTTCTTTGTATAAAGATTGTAATAGTATTTTAATAAAAGGAGACATAGAGGAATAAAGTTAAGTATATTGAGATTATTTTTATATTTATAGTATTCTTGGTGTCTGAAGATTTTAACATGTAATAAACCTTTTATTTTTTATTTCATCAACATCAATTGGTATTAAAATCCAATAAAACTTTATGATTATTTGATTTTATTATGCATTGCAGAACAACCATGACTATAAAAAATTATAAATTAAAATGTGTTTGTATATTAAAAAAATAAAATATTTGCATAAAAATATTGTATTAAGGATTCATGATAAGATGGATATTAGAAATGATGAGGTGACTCGTGTATAGAAAGATATTTTTAATAAAAATTAATTTTTAATTGAAATTTTAATTTAAGGATGAGTTACTTCCAATCTAAAAAGACCAATAAATAAGTGTTTTTTTTAAATAAATATTTTTTTAATTAATTCTATTTCTTTCTATTTTATTTGTTTATTCCTTATTCTTATATTTGAAAGAGATATTTTCTTTAATTTATTTATTTTTATTCAGCATTATTAGAATTTTTTATTTTATTTTCTATATAGAAAGTTGCAATAGTTTTTTTTCAGAAAAAAAAACATAAAAAACATAAATTAAATATTTTAAGATTCTTCCCTCTATTTATTTATGATATTCATGATATATACAAGGCCGTGATACTGACAACCAATGTCGTTCCATTCACAGGAACAACTTTGTCACTTATTCGACGGTCTGTGGTGCTTGCCACAACAGAAAGCAACCATGGTGCTGCACTTGACACCGATCCTCGCACAAGGAACTCCTCTTGCAATGCGATGTGATTAACCTTGTATAAATACATTAGTAGTCATATGATACACAAAGATTTCAGGGTCAAGATCATTTTTCTCAGTTATTATTATTTTTTTACTTAATTAAAACAAACATTTTCTTTTATAGTGATTTTAGTTTTTTTCTGTTTAGTTTAGAAAACCAAATATTAAGATTCATAATTGTATTTTTCTTAATTTATTTAGAATTTTTTATTATTTTTTTTGCTTTCAGGTTTTAAAGTTTATTTAAAACTTTGTTTGGGTTGATTTTTTCATTTATTTAAAAACCTGTAAACATCTTAAAGAATATGCCATAATTTTGTTTTATCTTGAACAATAAATTTATGAATTAAGGTTCTTGTATTTTATTTTATTTTATTTTAGTTACTAATATGTTTTCTTTTATTATTGTTGTATTGGTTGGGTTTTCATTTATATTGATTTGTATTTGTGCCTACATCAATTAGTATTATAGCCTAACTATTACAACCTAAATTTCACGCTCATGATTGTTAACAAAAAATGATATCACAAAAATACTTCATTTCAGCTAAATCTCAAAACTTACATTTCATAAAACAAATATATAAAATTTTGTAGCATTTCATAAACTTTCAAAATATTTTTCAATATCAATATAAACAAATAATAGTTCATGATAGTTATTATAATATAAAAATCCAAACTTAAATTAAAACATTGTATTAATGGAGAACTCAAAGTTATCAAACAAATACTAAAAGAAAAGTCTTATGAAAAAATAAGGTATATCAATAAAAAATAAAGAAACATGATGTAACACCCTCGTTTTTTCCCTATATAAATCAAAGTTATTCAAATCCATTATCCATGGCAAATTACTAATTAATTGCTCATTAATTCAAATTTTTGTAAGTAGTTTCTTTTTAAAAAAATCAAATTAAATATAAGGTTTTTTTATCAATTTTATTTTTTAATTTCATCTTCAAGAATTTTTTTAACAGTTAGTGAAATTATCTTTAAACTAATTTAGTCAACTAAATTATATAATGATAATTTTTATATAATTTAATTATAAATAATCTAAACTAAATAAAAAGTTGAATTGAAAAAAAAAGATAAACATATTTAAAAAATAAATATTTTTTTAAACTATAAAAAAATTTGGATATCATCCACAGCATAACGCGGCAGCCCTGCAATAGTAACTATAAAATAAAGCAATTTAAACTTGTATCTATTTGGTTATATTTTGGGGAGACTTAGACAATAAAACTATACGTTTGTGCGTTGAGAAATGGTTCCTGTATTGGACAATTTAGTTTTAACAAAAGATCCACTGTTATTTTTATTAAATACTATCTAGATATCCACTGGATGGATTCGACGAAGTTCAAGATTCTTTAACATATATGGACACGCACGCGCACACAAGAATATCCTACCACCTCATTTACACAGTACTTTGTTCCTTTCTGTGGGCCTCTGTTATGATATGTAAAAATTCCGGCGAGTGGATTGCCCAGCAGCCAAGATTACTCTATTGTTCAAGCATCAAAATCAGCTTTTCTGGGCAGGCATGCACCAATCACCGACGCATACACAGCCTGCCTTGCCTTCCCATTAATTTCATGTGGTCGACAATGACGTGCCTTGAAAAACCAATATGCGACACCAAGCCATTAATGGCATCCTTTCCTTTCAATATGAACTATTTTTTCACTCTCATTTATGAGGTCATATGAATATTGCATAGAGTTCATATGCGAGGCCTTTCTTCTCAGTACAACGGGCGAATTAAACAATTTTAAGACTGCCGTCCGTATAAATGTTTTAAATTGGCCCCTTTCACGTCCTCTTCATCTGGTAATGGGAAATTAAATAAGGTCTTATGATTGTGCAAGCATAAGATTTCAGATCATATCATGTCAAGTCAAATGATCATATACAGAGAAGCCGGCAAGGGAGTTGACTCTGATTCGATATCAAACTATTCTTCTGGTTTTTTTCTGCTAGCGTCTGCTACTTTTTCCTAATATACTTCCTTGCCATAAAATGCACCAGAAATAAAAATGATGAAAACATGTACAAGAGAAAATCGTGTTGTAGATATCTGAAAGCTACTACTCAATTTGTATTGTTATATTGTGAATTCTGTGCATTTTCTCACAATATTCCCCAATCATACGAAGGATTTCAGGAGAGCTGGCTCCTGGCTCAGCCATTACATGGCAAGACAATACTAACTTCCCTGCTGTTATGGACCATACATGCAGGCTATGAACATCTTGAACTCCTTTAATACACTTCAGAGCACTCTCCAGCCTGCCAACATCGACCTCGTGTGGTGTCCTCTCCATTAGTATACAGAAGATATCTCTCAGCAATGGTAAAGTAGTAAACAGAACAAAAGTTGAGAAGAGTAAAGTGCAGATAAGATCAACCACCAACCAATCTGGCTTGGCCCATATAATTGCTCCAGCAATCATCACCCCGACAGACTGAATTAGATCAGCCATGACATGGACGTAAGCCCCTTGGATATTTATGTTCCAAATCTTTGTCTTTGCTGGAGCACCTGATACCAGCTTAGTCTCCTCCCCTTCATTTGTTGCACAATCGTCCTCGCCCTCGTGGTTGTGAGTATGATCATGATTGTGATCATGGCATGCGTGGTGAGAGTGATCATGACCCAGCCACATGACCATGATAAAATTAATGATAAATCCAAACAAAGCAATTGCAAACATTAGTCCCCCGTTCACCCTTGCATTTTTGTGAAGAATTCTATCAATAGCTTCATAAATTAAAACACCGGAAATCAGCCATATGAGCTGAACAGAGAGAAGAGCACCCAGAACTTCAAGACGACTATATCCAAAAGACTGGTGTGATGTTGCCTTCCAACCCGACACCCACACGGTGAAAAGGGAAATAGAGAATCCAGCAACATCAGTCAACAAATGTGCA